TAGACCCATATCCTTCATGAATATAGATGCAAAAATTCTCAACAAAATACTTGGAAACAACATATAGACCCACATCATAAAGATCATTCACCATGATCAAGTAGGCTTTATCCCAGAGATGCAGGGCTGATTCAGTATACACAAGTCAATAAACATCATTAATCATATAAATGGACTCAAAGACAAAAACCACATTGTCATCTCAATAGATGCAGAAAAGGCTTTTGACAAAATTCTGCATGCATTTATGTTCAAAGTCCTAGAGGGAATTGGACTGGAGGGAACATACCTCAACATAATTAAAGCTATATACAACAAACCCACAGCCAACACCATTCTAAATGGAGAAAAACTGGAAGCATACCTATTAAAATCAGGAACCAGACAAGGATGTCCACTATCTCCGCTCCTTTTCAACATAGTGCTTGAAACTCTCTCTAGAGCAATATGACAGGAGAAGGAAATTAAAGGAGTACTAATTGGAAAAGAAGAAGTCAAACTATCCCTTTTTGCAGATGATACAATACTATACCTAAGAGATCTCAAAAGTTCCACCAGAAAACTCCTAGAACTGTTATTTTTATTTTTTATGTGTATGAGTGTGTATGAGTGTATTGCCTGCATGTATCTAAGTCTATATTGTGGAAGTCAAAAGAGGGCTTGGATCCTCTAAGGACTGGATAGTTGTTAGCTGCCATGTGGGTGCTGGGAATTGAACCTGGGTCCTCTGCAAGAGCAGACATTGCTCTCAACCGCTGAGCCATGTCTCCAGCCCCTCATTCAGCATTGTATATAAACTTTTTGTCCTTCCTTCCTTCCTTCCTTCTTTTTCACCCCCTCAACACCACTCCCTCCTCCCTTTTGCATCCCTTTTTAGCTCCTTCTGTGCTTACTTTCTCCCCTGGTTCTCTCTGACTTCTGCCACTCATCTTGGGTACCGTTACAGATCACTCTCTCCGTGGTCATTGGTCCACAATTCTCAGTCTCTGAAATCATCTGACCTGCTCATGACCTTTCCCTTCTAGAAACCTACTAGATACCTCAGGTTCTATTTAATTTTGAATTGGATGTGGTGGAAGTCGCCTCTGGTAGATACAATTCCTCTTGCTCCAATAAAAGAGCCTGGTTGCCTGTCCTGTCCAGGGTGTTAGTGGCTGATGCAGGAGGGCAGGCAGAGAGAGGACAGGGCAGGCCCTGGAGCAGAGGCTTGGGAGCCAGCCACAAGGGACTGCTTTGTCCTAACTCACCAAAGCAAACTTTCAGGTTCCTTGAGTGTGTTCCAATTCAGTTTCCTTAATCATAATTCAAGAATGCTTCCTGGAGTCTTTTCTATCACATTAGTTTAGTGGGGACTGCTGGTTTTTTTATTCATGACTTTTTGGTTAAAGGAATACTTTGTCATTCATTATATTAGTCTTAGAGAAAAGTGCTAATTCTGTGCATTACTGCTTCAGCCGCTTCAAAATTACCTTCTCCCCCCGACCCCAACCCTCCACGAAGAGGGCAATCACTTTAGCACAAAGTGCTCAGGACCTCAGGATTACCAGCTGTCCTCTGTGTGGGTCTAGAAGCAGAGATACTTAATTTTCCTACCCAGAAGATTTTCAGATCTGAACTCCATCTGGGTGGAGAAGCCAGCAGTGTGGAAAGAGTGGTGACCTCACCTGCAGGGATTGTGGGCATGGTGCCTGCACATCCATCCACCAGGACTTTGTCAGGCAGGAAATCCTGTGAAATTCCTGCTCAGGCTCACCAAAGGGAGCTCTGAAGGGTTTCATTCTTCTGGCCAGGTTCCTGCCTTATTAAAATGTGTATGGAGGCCTTTTTGCCCATGAATTTTTGCTGACAGGTTGACCTAGGGTCAGGATAGTGGGTAAGGCTAAGAACAGTCCATGATAGGCATGAGCCAAGAAAACACATGGAAACTTCAGTGCAGACATGGCATGAGACAGTTTTAGTGGTGGTAGCTCAGCCTTCGGGGTGCCTCTCATGGAGAGCAGGGGGATCCCCTCAGCCATGTATCATTACAAGTGAAGCCTTAGTTGAACAGGCAGAGACCAGATCCTGGCCCTGCTCCTATTAGCTGTGTGCTTTGGGGTCCTACACCTCAGTTGTCACCATCTGTGAACACTTTTAACTCTCAGAATTTGTATGAGAGTTGCATGGAGAAAGGATATAAAATGCTCAACAAGTTTCCTAGCATGAAATATAGTGTTCGATAAATGATTATTGATTTTACTATTGATTTGCTAGGTCAGCCCCCGTTCTTGGATTTAGAAACTAGGGTTTGATGGGAGCTGTAACCTATGAATAAATGCAGTAATTGAGATCAGTATTTTACTGACTCAGAAATACCACAACTGTATTTCAAGTACATTACTAGTGTTCATGAGTCTTGGAGTTACTGTTGCTTCTCAAAGATGATCAGATTAATATCTCTGCTTGAGAGGCTTGAATCTGCTAGAACTGTCAAGGCAGTGGAGAGACTGTCTTTCCTCTTTGGATTTTTCTAAGGTGCAATGACAGTCCAATGGTTAAGTGATAAGATGACTTTTGTATGTGAATCTGGACCATAAACTCTCAGTCATCTATCATTTTCTTCGATATCTGATCTCTTCATTCGTGATTTGGAGGTTGTTATTATAAACTGCAAATAGTGAGACCTGAAGACTAGAACAAAAACTCACGCTGATAGGATTGTGTTCTGGTTCTTTAAATTGAAGTATACTAATTTATTACTATGATTGAGTATTATTTGAAGGTTTTGAGAACCAAAAATTAACAGATGCTGAATTCCACATTATGCCTAACTTCTTTTCATTCATCTTTGAAGGGCACAGAGTTCTACCTTACATAAAAAGCAAGCTTAAAGTCAATGAGGGTAACTCTCTTTTGCTTTTTCTTCTAGGTAAAAAGAAATGGGCTGTCCCAGACAATGAGCCAGGAGGAAAGAAAGAGACAGGAGGTATGTTACTATTTGGGAGGGGGGGTCCTATGTTTTGCCTTCACGTACTGTGTGCATTTGCTTACTGTTATCCTGTGGAAATGTATTTGCTTTCTTTCTGTAAATACCGCAAGTGGCTCTCCTTAAGTAAAGCTATACATATCTTGGCCCCTAGAACAGGAAAAAAAAAATGTAAATGTCTTAACACATTTGCATTTAACAGCAAAGCACCTGGAAGAAACATGTTAAACAATGACATGGACATTCGATCCTGCAGCTGAAAAGGGTATACTGGGAAAGCTGGCGGAATCCGAGTAAAGTATCTCTGCTATTTCATAGACAACATACCCCAGTTATGTAATGCACCCTGCAGCTGGGTCAGGAGTACAAGGACCCGTGAACTATCTTTGCAAGTTTTCTGTAAATTTTAAAGTACACCAAAAATGCAGTTTATTTAAAAAATAAATGACAGCTAATAGGACTTTAGAACTTAAAATTTAAATCAATGTGGTTTAAAATTTTTGCTCACTATAATACATTGAAATTCTCACCTTTCTCCTGTCTTCTGTGTGTTAGTGTGAACACCTACATGTGCCTGTACATACAGGTAAATTAATTCCACGGGGGATACCGGGGTATCCTTGTCTTACTTAATTGGTATGGAATAAAGCAAAACTATATGGGAACAGAATACTGAAAGTTAAGTTTAAAAGTATTAAAGGATATAGTATAGCACTTTAGTGTACCCACAGCTGAGAATTCATAAATATAGCACTTTTTTTTCTGTCTTTTTGAAGTAGGGTCTCTCTGTAGCCCCTGCTGTCCTGGAACTCAATATGGAGACCAGGCTGGCCTTGAACTCACAGAGGTCTGCCTGCCTCTGCCTCCCAAGTGCTGGGACTACAGGCATGCACCACCATGCCTGGCATAGCACATTTTTTTTAAAGAAAGTAAAACTGTTGATTCAGCCTTGTGTTCTCTGTAGTCCTTTCTGTCTTTCCCAGAGAAGACTTTAATTCTGAACTGATGCATATCCTTCCAGTTTGTGTTTTTAAACCATGTATTACATATGCATACATATACACTAAATGTATATAAATGATACCAGTATGTATCTGTTTTTGGTTATTTGCTTTCACACTCAACATATTTGGCAGTATATCTCCATTCTGACCATTAGCTCCAACTGTTATGTGATACTGCATTCTCAGAATGCCTCCTTTTACATTTTATACTGATTTTGCTAAGTGTTAGCAGAGGATAGAACATTTTCCTTTACTGTTAACATTGTGGCTTAAACAGTATTTCTCTCTCCTGATTTTTTTTAATTTTCTGTTTCCTACATTTTTAATGCTACTAACACTTAGATGTTTTCACATGTGTCTTTAATCTCTATGTATCTGATGATTACTAATCACAGTCGGTTATACCTGGATTCTTAGTACCTGAGTATGGATATAAAGTCATCAGGTAGATTTCACTGGTAATGTTTATCACTTCTACTATTTAACATGAAGTAAATTTTTATGCTTCCTTTTCAAATATATATTTTTTTAAATTTGTTGATTTTTCTGTGTGTATATCATACAGAACATCCCACACAATCTTATTTGTCTATATACCCACTTCCCAAATGGCACCCTCTCCTGATTTTTTAATTTTTTTGGTGTATTTATTGATATTTTGTATGTATGAGTGTTTAGCCTACATGTATGTAAGTGCACCTGTGTTGTGCAAAGCCCATGGAGGCCAGAAGATGGCATCTGATCCCCTGGAACTGGAATTACAGGTGGTTGTTAGCCATCATGTGGGTGCTGGGAATCAAATCTGGTCCTCTGAAAGGCAGCCAGCACTCTTAACCACTGAGCCATCTCTCTAGCCCCTTTTCTCTCCTTGTTGACAAATCCAAGAACTTCTCCAAAGTCTAATTCTATTCAAGTAGTTCTGTCTTTGAAATCCTACACATTTGAATTTTGTCTGTTTCTATTGTATTCTAAAAATATTTATTAAGATTTGTGATATAGGGGCTGGAGAGATGGCCCAGCAGTTAAAAACACTGACTCTTCTTGCAGAAGACCAGGGTTCGAATCTCAGCACCCATGTGGCAGCTAACAACTGTGCGTAACTCCAGTTCCAGGGCATCTGACAGCCTCTTTTGTCTTCCGTAGGCATTGCATGACACGGGTGCACTTACCTACACTCAGGCAATACACACATACACATAAAAACAATAAATAAAATATTTTTTATAAAAAGGTTTGTGATATACAGTATCACAGCGGCCTCGAAACTAACTTTGTAGTTCCTTTCTATTCGTATATAGCTACTTCTGAGCAGGCTCAACCTTGTTTGCCCTTCAGTGATTGATGTCTGTTGTGATCATCCATTATTACATGAAACTTTTCTGCATTGGAGCTGTGACTGCCTTTGCATGTGATCTGTTTGGTATAGTTCAGTGCATCTTTTTGTCTCACTGTTTGTATTTTGTGTCCAATTACAGAAGACTTTGTTTTTGAAAATATTTTAAGTCATCCCAAGGCACAAAATCCACCAGCAACTTAAAATCCATCATGCTTGGTCAGGGAGGGAGAATTTTCTCTTAGGGACAGTGTGTTGACTGCATAAAATTATACAAGATACATGCTTACTCTTAATGTCCTTACTATTTATTTGTTTAAAAAATATTTATTATTTTTATTTTATGTGTATGAGTGTATTGCTTGCCTGTATATAAGTGCACCCATGTCGTGCAATGCCTGAAAATGTCATAAGAGGGTATCAGATCCCCTGGGACTGAAGTTATGGACAGTTGTTAGCCGTCATGTGCCATTTGAGAATCAAACCTGAGTCCTCTGCAAAAGTAGCCAGTGCTCTTAACTGCGGAGCCATCTCTCCAGCCCCTACTTTTAATTCTTTAAATAGTTATGTCAGTTAATTCCCTGAAGCTTAGCTGAGGCTAGACTAGAACCTAGAAGACTGAAGCCTCTAAAGCCTTACAGATGCTAAAAAGGGCAGTGAACACTGGGGTTATAGCTCTTCTGACTTGATACGCAAGATACGGTCCACCTATCAGCAGCTGGGCATCTACCTGCCTCTGTCTGTCTTCCTTCCATAGAGCCCCCATCTCCTGTGCTCTTTGGGGCAAGTGGTTAAAGGAGATGAATCCTAGAGGTCAAAGTAATGAAACTCTCCAGGAAGGACGTGAACCCCAGGCCTGCAAGAATGTTCACTCCCCTTGACCCTCTTTCCCAGAGAAATTCTCCCTGTGGCCCCATTATTAGAGAATCTGAGTTTGATTTTGCTGAAGAGGTAGATGAATTCCTTATGTAGGGTGTTGGTGGCTCTCCATAGACGTGGCCTGGCATTTCATCATTCATACTTACCAGGAACCTCTGTGTGTCTGATACCAAGGGTCTCTGCCGAGGGTACTTTGCTCCTTCTTGAGACACTGATGAGAGTAGGAGAGGGTGGCTTGTTGAAGAAATGGAATGACTTTCAATTGTATGAGTTTATATAAAAGAATTCCTGTGGCTGATAAGAACCTTTTGAGGGTAGATATAGTCATGCCACATAGTGTTTGCTGCTATTGACTGCAAATTAGTCATATTAAAACAGAGAGAGAAACCACAAACACAGGAGGGGAGCAAGGGAACTATTTGTGAGATGATGATCATAAATTCTTATTGTCCCTGAAAGCAGCATGCTTTGAAAGCAGAGCTGGAGGAGGTGACCCCAAAGGTTAATTAATGTCACACAGAGATTTTATGACATGCCCTACTTCCTTCCATGGATTCTACCCTGTGGCAAAGGCATGACCTCAGCATGCCTTAGAAAGTCATCCTGATTCATTCATTTTCCTGTATGTACACAGGCAGTGACAGTTCTCAAGATTTAGGTATACAGCCTTATTTAAAGACAGTAGTTTGATAATGCATTTTCTTAATGTTGATCTTTTTGTGCTTTTCCAAGACATATCATTCCTATAACAAAACAGTAAGAGCTGTATTTAATTCTTCAATTAAAATAATTAACAAAATACTGTTTTTCTTCTTACCAGGCAATCTTTGAAGTCATATCCTCTGAGCATTCCTACTTACACAGCTTGGAAATCTTGATACGAATGTTTAAGGACTCTAAAGAACTGAGTGACACAATGACTAAAACCGAGAGGCATCACCTTTTCTCCAATATCACAGATGTCTGTGAGGCAAGCAAAAAGTGAGTCTTCTTCAGTTTCCTCTGTTCTTGCTGAGACAGTGCTTACCTTTGGATACCTGTGTTCTCTCAAAGGGAGGTGCTGGGGTTGTAAGGTCTCTTCCACCCAAGGCTGGCTGCTGGCTCTAGTCCTTGTCAGATTTTTTTAATTTTTAAATTTTTTTCAAAGTTCATGTAATACATTTTGACCATGTTTAGATCCCGTCCTGTATCTGCACTCCCTTTTCTAACCCTGCCAAGTTTCTGTAAAATATGTGTATACATATATCTATGTGTAGATAAAGGGATAGATGATAGATAGATAGATGATAGATAAATAGATAGATAGATAGATAGATAGATAGCTGATAGATAGGCAGATAGATAGATGATAGGTAGACAGATGGTAGATAGATAGATACATAGATGATAGACAGATAGATGATAGAAAATAGATAGATAGATAGATAGACAGACAGACAGACAGATAGATAGATAGATAGATGACAGATAGATGATAGAAAATAGATAGATAGATAGATAGATAGATAGATAGATAGATGATAGGTAGATGATGATAGATAGATGGTAGATAGATAGATAGATGATAGATAGATGATAGATGAGATGATAGATAAATAGAGATGGATGGATAGATAGATAGATAGATAGATAGATAGATAGATAGATAGATAGATTTAAAAGCATTGATGATGATGATAGATAGATAGATAGACAGATAAATAGATAGATAGATAGATAGATAGATAGATAGATAGATAGATAGATAGGCAGGCCTATAAAATCAGGTTTGTGTTCCCAAATGGCCTTCAATGTAGGTTCATCCACTGGAGCCTGGTGAACCTACTGAGAGTCCCACCTCAAATGGCACTCAGTCTCCCCGTCCCAGCAGTTGCCAGTGGTCCCTCAGGTAGGGTTGGGGGTTTCTTACCCACTTTCCCACATCTATGCTGGGATTTTTTTTTATGGTTTGAGCTTGCAGGGGACTTGTTCATGCTGTCACCATTTCTGTGACTTCACAGAGTGAAGTGACCAGCTGTCTGGAAAACTCTTTTTCCTTGTGGTCATCCACAAGGTCATTTCCTTGTGGCTGTAAGACTCTGGCTCTTCTAACCTTCCACCCCCTCTTCCACAATGATCCCTGAGTCTTGGGAGGCAGAAATTTGATGTAGATGTCCTATTCAGGGGTACATTCCTTGTAAATTTTAAGGTGTGTTTTGAGTTGCTGGTGGATACACAGATGCTGAATGTTTGTTTAATTGTGTCACCAGACAGCTACCTAAGGTGTCTGCCCCACATCTGCTCATTCTTTCCCTTCTGCACATGAGCAGGAGCCTTGGTTTCTGCCGGGCTGTGACACGTGCCTATTTCAGGAAAGAAAGAGTAGGTCTCAGCTCTCTAGGTAGCTTCTAAAAGCATTTTTATTGTATTTAATTATTTCTGCTTTATTTTTTGTCATGAGAACTTGAGAAGATAGCACAGCACATTTTCATGCATCTAAAACTTGCATTTAACAATAGCTAATTTTTTTTACCAGGTTCGTTTATCTTTTTTTCACTAAAATAGTTCCAAGTATACATATATGATAATTTTACTAATAAATGTTGCAGTGTTTAGTAAGAAAAAAATTCCATTATATAACCACAATTTTAAAGCACTGCTCGTCATTGTTTGTTTTGATTTATTCTGTTTGATTTGTGTGTGTGTAATAGGTTCACATTTTGAAATTCCAGTGATACAAAGGGTTGAATGGTATGCCCTTTGTACACTGTTCACTGGACATATTCCAAAAGGTCTACGGATGCTCCAAGTGTTCACTCTCCACCAGAATTGCTCACTGGCCATCTGAAAGTCAGCTAGAGCAAACATTTTCTTTCTTATGTAACTTTTCAGAAATAGATTATGATTGCTATAAGCAAATATACTTTCCTTGTTTTAATTTAGATGATCACATGCTATGAAAACTGTTCTTCCCTTTTTTACCTCAGTTGTACAGACTGTTACATATCTGTACTCAAAAATGTTTCGTTTTTACACCTTTTCCTGCCAAATTGTTTATTGAAGACACCAGAACATTCGTTGTGTGGCCGTTCCAGGAGGCACACGATATGGATGTGGTGGTAATCAGTATCAGATCCATCAATTCGTTACGGATTATGAAATGGTGTTGCTGTAATCTGTCATCTTTCACTCATGGAGTAGCTGGGATAGTTCTACAGAAATGTACATCTGCCTCTTAACCTCCCCAGTGATAAAGTTACTCCATTTATTGATGTTCAAGGTTTTCCATTTTGATCTTAATAATATATGGCCATTTTCTTGCTATATAGTATATCATGATGTCTTAAAAATTCTTGCTCCAGACCTGGAGTTCTTTCCCCCAAAGAGCACCGATGTGTTTTAAGATGACAGTGTTGCTGGTGAGTTTTGTCTGTTTCAGTATATGTCCAGAAACAAGTCCAAATTCATATCTGAAGAGGACATATTCCGAAAGGTCTACAGATGCTCCAAGTTCATCAGAATAGATGTACTAAATGTGCAGTTTTTGTATGACAGTTCAAGCTCTATAAAGCTTATACAACTTTTTACAAAAACGGAACCCTGGCTCCTATCACTGTTTATCTACTCTGCTCTTGTATAATTAATTTTTTAAAGGAAAAGGTTTCCTGATTTTTTTAAATTACATTTATTTGGATTGGGGGAGGGCACTGTTTGCACAGTGTGTGTTTGGAGGTCAGAGGACAACCTGAGGCAGTTATTTCTCTCTTTCCACCATGTCGGTACCAGAGGATCACAATCAGGTTGTCTGGCTTGGTGGAAAGCAGCTTTACATGCTGATTCATCTCCCCCCTGCACCCCAAAAGGTTATTGTTTCTCTTTGTTTTTAATATGTGTGTATGTGTATTGCGTTATTTCCCCCTTTTAAGTAAGTGAAAGCGTATTCCTCACACTTTTCTCAACCGCTCCTTGTTCACATCACATATGTATGTGTTAGAGGATATTCCTGGCAGTTTTTGATGATAGTCCTTCAGATTTCTGGCTGCATGATTCTCCATTGAGAAGCCGTGTCACCGCTGATCCATGTAGTTCTCCATGGGCAGGGAATTAATTCAATCTCACTGCTGCCGTCGTGTTTTGGACTTAGGCACTGTCGTGTTTTAGTTATTTTATCTTTGGGAGAGATTCCTAGAAGAATTGCAACATGAAAGGATAAATCTGTATGTGCTTTTGTAATATACTGCCAAATTCCCCTCAAAGCATTTGTACCATCTTGCATTGCCCCTGATAGACAAGTTTCTGCAGCTCCAGAGCCTTTCCAGGGGCCTGTCAACAAGCCTTTAGATTTTTGTCAATCTGATAAGCAGGCACTGTTAATCTGAATATAGTTTTAGCATTTTTCTTAAGCTTTTTCTTAAAAATTAAAGCATCGTGGAACATATTGTAGTCCATCAAATACTAAAAGGTGTTGTTTAACTTACTCAGTAGACTGCTCTCAATAATGAACACAAGATATTGAAGTCATAGGATAAATAACAAAGCATTAATGTGTACTGATGCGTTGCTTAACAGCCAGGACAAGATCTAAGAAATGCATCCTTAGGACGGGGTTTTATCATTGTGAAAATGCCCTGGGGACTGGAGAGATGGCTCAGTGGTTAAGAACACTGGTTGTTCTTGCAGATGACCCAGGTTCGAATCCCAGTACTCACCTGGCAGCTAACAACTGTCCGTAACTCCAGTTCCAGGGGATCCGACAGCCTCTTCTGTCCTCTGCGGGTACTGCACAACACAGGTGTACTCACCTACATGCAGGCAATACATGCATATACATAAAAAAAATAATAAGTAAAATATTAAAAAAAATAAAATGCCTTAGAGTGCACTTGAACAAACCTAGATGGTATATAGCCTTCTGCACTCCTAAGAGACACTGTTCATGTAATGATGATGTAGGCTGTTCCTCCCAGGGCCGTGATGAACAAAAGCACAGAGAATTAAGTAAGCATAAGAGAAAAATAAGACACAGAAAGCATGTGATACACAAAGCTTCTGCCTGTGTAGCATGGCGTACATCTTTTGTGATAAGCTTTTTCTTTAAATAAAAGGGGTATGCTCTCACAATAAAAAGTGTAGCAAAATAAACACACGAAGCACTGACATAGCGGTTTGTCATCGTCAAATATCAAGTTCTCTTGTAATGGTATTGCTGTGCTTCCGCAGAGCTGGCAGCAGAGAGGTTTGTCTACAACGATACCACCACAAACTTGAACAAGGCATTGTGCTACCACCACTGGGAGGCTGTTAGGCAGTAGAAACTTAGCTCCATTGTATTCTAATGAGACTGCTATCATACATATGCTTCATTATTGACTGAAAGTTGTATGGTGCATGACAGTGCAGTGTTGTGGTTAACATGTCAAACTCATCACTCCCAATAATTTTTAAAAATTTGAAAATAATTGAAAATTTTTAAAAGTTGAAAAAAGTTCTAGGATTGCTAAATGGAGTAATATGGGGTTAGTTTGAGTTATATATACATAAATTATGACAAAAGTAAACACACAAAACAGTTCTTACCCCACGTTTGTGCCCATTTAAATTAGAGATTATATTAAATTTGAAATATCATGGGACATTAAATACTATTATAAATACACATGCCTTGTGAAATTGCTTGATAGTACCAAAAAAATGGCATTTTGTGCAAATGCTGGCACAGCCTATGTGCATTGTGAAATACTTTTTCTATTTGGTCGTTAAAATTCTAAACTAATGCATTTAACTAACTGACAGTAAACCTTCATACTGACATTTCATCCTTCCTACCTAATTCATAAGGCCAAATTTTAAAAAGAAATGCATATTTAATGTAACCAGGCCAGAGAATATGGACCTTTTTAAGTTGTAGAACCTGTTTAGTTTTTGCCCTGAAGTAATGACTGTTCTGGTGTTTCTTGTTAGCAAATGTTCTTTCCTTACTCAATATATAATATAATTTACTA